TGCTAGTAAGTACATACATGCGATGTTCTCGGGCAAAGGGAGTATATGCATTAGGGGTAATTGTGTTACGGAGAGGCCTGGAGCAGGAGAGCCCCGCTGAGTCCACAATGGGGGGGGGGGTGGAGTGTCCCAGGGCAAGGGCAGGGCGGCTGAGGGTGGGGCAGTGGGGGTGGGGGCAGGGGGGTACATTATCAGTTTAACATTTCGCAGCAAGGATGCAGACCGGGGCTTGCCTTAGTAACATTGTCTTTGGACCGGTGGGGGGTTATGAGGGGGGCCGGAGAATGACTAAGAGCAACACCGATTTAGATCCGCTGGTATCAGTGGCCCCAAGCGTAAGGGCTGATTTCCCAGTGTGTGGAGCATTCGCTGGTTGGAACACGAGGCAGTGAGCAGCACGGCCAACACCGAGCAGGAGGCCTGCCTTCGAGACCTGCTCTCACGTCAAACGGGTATTTCCTGCAAATACCCGAAACCTTTCCAGCTGACTCGGCCCTGTCCCTGAGATTTGTAGCCCTGACTCTCCTCCTGGGTACCGTCATTAATTCCGGAGAAATCCGTAGCCTTTTAAAAAGAAAACATCCCTTCAGGACCTCTGGCAAAGGGCTTTGAAACCAGCCTCAGAGCCGGCAATTGGCCCTTTAAAATGCACACGCAGGCTTCGCCATTCACAGCATTAATTACCAGCTGAGACCATTGTGACGCGCTAAAGGAGCGTCAATCCCGTGAGCGGCTTCACCCTTTCGTTCCTTTTCAATTCGTCACGCCTCTAGCCCAAGTCACACTGCTAGACAAAGTGACTTTAATTTCCTGTTTATACTGCTAGATATTTGATTTGGACAATTCGTGGCAAGTCCATCCATCCATGATCCATCAGTGGCTTGCTCAAATATAGCGGGAGAGTCCCTAGATACCGACATCCTGGGGGTTAATGAGTTCTTAACCTCACAGGCCACGTCCTGTCACCTGTCTGTGATAAAACATCGGTCCTCAGGTCCGGTCACCCTGATCAAACAGTCTGAGAGAGGTCAGTGTTATTCCAAAATCACTAGCTAATATTGCTCGAGTACCCAGTCGCACATTTCCTCCTGGTGCACATCCAGTACTCCTCCCAAAACTTTCCTGATTTATTCCGGCGTGCCCGATTGGGGTGGCTATTACCCATCAGGAGGGAGTCCCAGAAGGATGAGGTTCGGCCCCGGCATCGCCCGCGCAGACTCGCCACACTCGCTCACACCTGCCAGCTCAGCAAACGAGAGGCCATCGCAAAGCTACAAACGATGTGGGGGGAGGGAGGCATTAAGGGGGATCATGGGTAATCTTGCAGACCATCTGAAGCCAAACCTATTGGCCCCTTTCACCCTTTTGCATTTGGCTCTGAAAAGGTTCACTTCACCGCCGCACGGCTGACAAATCAAGTATGTGACGTTCACTTTTATCTACTCCCAGCAAAACTTTACAGAGTTGTCTTTTTTCACGTTTGCTGCACAGCTGCCTTTGAGAAATGAGGACGGTAGCAGCAGAACTGCTTCTGTAAAATCACCTAGAGTTTCTCATACTATATATAATACACACATTGAGGCACACACTCGTAGGCTGTGTGTTTAGCTATGCGGTTTTGGCCACGGTTGGTTCAGTGGCGATTATGACTAATGGCATTTCTGCACTAATTATCTGTGATGTGATTTTTACGCTGTCTCCAGCAGGGCCCGGTGACTGCAGATCAAGAAACGCCAGGCGACCCACTTGCCGGGGGAGTTCGACACCGAGGGCAGAGGAGGAGGTGTGGCCCACTGTCTGGTTTGAGCAGCTGAGCTTCTTGTTTTAACACGTGATAAAAATGCACTTAAGTTAAATATGGAGACATCTCAGGTTGTGGGGCACGTGTCAGTTGAGGGAATTGTCCAGAGAAGGAGCGACAGCCTCCAGCACGAGCATGGAGGGGAATGCCAGGGCAAATAGGGGATGCTTTATCCAAAGCAGCATCAGACAGTCCCTGGGGCAATTTGGGGTTAACTGGGGGCCTAAAGGTGAAACCAACTTTGCGATTAGAACCAGTGACCTTCTGATCACAGGCGCAGCGTCCTAACCCTCTGAGCCATATATCGTCCCCCATCCGCTGGGTGGGGGTTTACCGTTCCACACAATGCCCCCCCATCCATCTGTACAACCGGAAAGTCAAAGGCGCTTTAATAATTGGACCTCAGCTTGTTGGGTCACCGGCCAGTGCTGACGTGGCCTCTGCAGAGCCCACGTACCTGTTGCAGTCCGCAGGCGGGTTGGAGGGAAAATAGCAGTTTGCTGGCCAGAAATGCGATTCTTAAGGCGGCTGAGGGACGGAGTGAGCGTGCCGATGAGATGGAGCGCAGACGCTGGCAATCCACAGACTCCGAAACGGCGCCGTATTGCCCTCAAGCGCATTTAATGCCCCTTGATGGCAATCATTAGAACGCCACGATGCCTCACAAAGGGTGGCGGGGATCCGACAGGCCGTCGTTATGGCAACCCCGCTCACAATCACGATGGAGTGCTCAGTCGGGTCGCCCCTACCACCACTGTCCTCTCTGCTCGCATTAAAACGGCAGTGTTTTCAGTCGGCGGAGCAGCACACCGAGGGCCTGCAGTCCATGGTACAACCCATGTGGTGTTTTTTGGCACACAAGCTAATCACAACCTTGCAACACAAGTGACTGTGAGGAGCTTTTCGAGAAGCCGGATAAATGCTGTAGCCTAGGCCAGTGTTTCCCAGGATCCTTGTCATCTAGGCCAGTGTTTCCCAATACAGTCTGGACCCCAAAATGGTCAGGACTGGCAGCAACAAGCTGCCCTTGGAACCTAACCCACGGTATTTCTCCTTGTTAACCAACCAGAATCTAACATCATAGATGTAATGCAGGAAGTCAGTGTGACAATTTCCTTCATTTAAATAAATAAATTGAAGAAATAATAAAAGCAAGGAGAAGCCGTGCTGCTGCAGCCATCAGTAAAATACTTAATCACTCAAATACCCATATAAATGAATAAAAACTCTCAGAAGTGTGTAAAAATCTCATTCACACAAAAAAGTGCAAACATAATGCTATGTGGTTTATTCCTCTGTTATGTGGGTGGGTTTTATTTTTCTGGGCCACGCCCACTTTTCCCGCATATCCAATCGGTGCAGCATCTCTGACTATCCCACATTTCTGATCTTCAGGTTACCCATGAGCCAAGGGGCGAACTCTTTCAGACAAAATCCCCCTGACCAGCACAGCTCGGAAAGGCTTCTCACGCACCGTTTTTTTTTCACGAGATACACGCGTTGTAGCTGTGCTCCACTCTGAAAATATGGTGGGAGTGGAGGGGGGGAGGTTCTAGAAGGCATCAGTGGTGTTAAGATAATGTCCCGTCCTATGAAAGAACATCTTTGCCCTTCAGACATAAATGAGGGTTAAGCTCATTTTAAAAACCACTTTCCATCACAGACAGAGGGACATTAACATGGTATCAGCCCCCCTACTATTTAATTTGATGTTGTCAACCAGGGAGACGGGAGTGGTGACAGTAAAAGTTGTCATGGGGGGGGGGTCTTTTCGAGGCCCCTATTTTAAAGAAGGCCTGCGCTTCAGCCTGGGAAAGCCTGTGCATTACATGCCGCTAATCGCACAGCAGCAATCTCCACTAAACAAGATCTGTCTCTTCTCTCTCAGCCTCTCTCTACCCCCCCCCCCCCCCCCCCCCCCCCCCCCCCCCCGCCACCCGCTGAATCTACCAAGATCTCAAAGACAGGAAGCCTTCTTTGGCCAGTCGCTGACCTCCTGGCTTTGGCTTCTGGGAAATCGGCAAAGCAGCAGGCTGAGCCGAGCCACTCAAGGCTAAAAATACCGAAATGGGCCTCGTCTCGCCAGGTTCCGCCCGGCCCAACACAAAGGTCACAGGAATGGTTATCGGAATGAATCTGATTATGTTTTAATACAATATGCAATCAGGAGACTCTATTGATTTTTAACATGAAGAATTACCCAAATGACTTGGAGCGCACACAAGAGCAGCCTGGCAAGAGCGAAATGACAAAAGAAGCCTACCATTCTGATTAGTTTTGAAAACGTTATTTCTACATTCCATAATTATATGCTGACACTGGGTGAACATTTTTGGAATTGAGATCAGTCCCAAGACCAAGCTTCTTTAAATTAATATGTCCGGTGCTACCCTGTGGAAATAACATTTTTTCTGATTTTTCTGCAATTTCACCTATTTAACAAAACCCACAGCATTATCACGCACGACCATCAATCAGGTACCAGCGATGCATGTACGGTGGCCCTGAAATACAAAACATGACAAAATTAAGAAAATGCAAAAAAAAAAAAGAAAACTAATTTTTTTTTTTAGAAATCCCTCAAAATGAAGGAATCATAAAAAATGTATTCTCAATGTTTTTTAGTTTCTTAACTTTTTTGGGTTTTATTGTACTTTAGGGACGCTGTACATGTATCTCATTACAGCTGTTAGCTAACGGAACATTCACCAGAACTACTAACTTGTATTGTGATTTCCTTTTTTTTCGCCACAAAAGGCACATAGATTCTGTAAGCCATTGAGCACTTGTTTATTGGTGGGGGTGACTGGAATCCATGAAACACTTAAGGCCAATCGACCGTCTATAGCTACATTCTGACATCATCATCCCAGCGCACTGGGGGTCCAAAAATGGCAAAAGCACAAAGACAGGCTGGGACAATGGACATGAGACAGAATCTGCCTCCACATGCAGGGAGCATGCAGGTCCGTCATGGCAATGAAGAGTGAACAGCATTTATGGGCTCGTTCCTGTGAAAGTTCTTCAAAACTGCCAATACGAAGATGAGCGTGCAATCAGACCTTAATGCTGTGGATTGATGCCTATCCCCTCCCGTCACCACAGGCGACGGATGAGAGGGTGGAACGTCCCCGCCCCCCCCAGCTACAATGCACAGATATTAGAAAGAGATGGGGGAGAAAAGAACATGGCAACTCACCTTCAGGATCACCACACAGCGTACACTGTGATTCTACAGACGGGAGAGGGAGAGAGAGAGGGAACAGGTGGTTATGCTGTGCTCAGTGTCCGGACGGCAACGTGGGTCAGGCGGCAGAGGCGTGGGCGAGAGCAGGGAGGCGGCTCTACACCAGTCAGCGATGCGAGTTCACAGAGAACACAGATCACATGGGGGATGAGCTCACATCTGACATCAAACAGAACTGCTGAATAATCAGGGATTTACAAAAAAGGGTTCTGACCCAGGGAGCCTGACTGAAGTCTAATTACAGATTCGTTATCCAGCCATCTATACATCGACCGCTTAACTTTGTCAGGGTCACAGGCCGGATTCATTATATTCATAAATAAGTCAAACATGAAAACAAACTCCTTGAAGGTTTCTTGTGGGTGTTGCACCACTACTCCGGGGTGAATATGGTGATTTCCCATGACACCCGGTCCTCTCTCATCCATGCTACAGAGTTCTTCTGGAAAGGCGTCACGTGAAATGCATCAGATGGAATGTGATCTGCACATCCTGCTTCTGCAGAACCATAGGGACCAAATCAGCCTCCCGCCTTCCTAAGCACTCACATGATATCGGTAGGGACATGCCCCTAATGTCCATACCCAAAGATGCCCCTCCCCCCCTTCAAACACAGCTCCACAGTCCTCTGACACATTTATAAGAGCTTTGACTGGCTTCAGCACTTTACAATTTGACTGGCAGGGCACCATTTTAAATCACGTCTCAAAAACAATGGTCCTGAAAGGCCCACGCGCTTTGCTAGGTCTGCCTGTCTGTTCATTCTCTTTCTTGTAAACAATGCCATACTACTTTCCCATACTTCATCTAGATATATCTGGTGTGGGACAGAACTGTTTACACCAGCAAACAAACAGACACTTGCATCATTCATCACACTTGCTGTCTTTACCTCAGCAAATACGGGCTCCGGCTTCATTAATTATAGGGAGTTGTCACAACAGGTCCATTAGTGTGCTTAACCCCAGCCCGTAGGCCTACAGAACCCTTCCCTGCATATGCAAATATCAGTTGTACAAACGGATTTGCTTATAGGCTGCACTGAAGAAATTCTTAACCGCAATTGGTCGATTAAGATCAGATGAGTTTTTGCGTGCATACAGACACCGGCTCTGATTGGCTTTGTCTCCCATCAATCATCTAAAAAAATCAAGGCTGCCTATAAGTGTATGTGGTCTCTCATTTAGCCTCTCTCCCAAAAGAGTGCTGAAAGCTCTCTGTTCAATAAAATGTTTTATTGTTTTATTGCTGTATTATTGGGACTGGGTGATTTATTACCGATCATCAAAACCTACCAGAAAGAAAACGTTCCCACCAGCCGTGAGCGAGTGTGAGTGTAGCACTAAAAGCCTAGACACGTTATGATTTTATAAAAAAAAAAAAACGATGCAGAAACGTCATCACTGTGGCCCAGAGGAATTCTATTCCCATCCTCATCATTGCGGTTAACAATTAACATTTGTTAAATGGTGCAGGTTCAAGTCGGAATAACCTCTCTAGCATTTGCCATAATCTATGGGGACACTGCAGGCAAAGTTATTTCCATTCACACCTGTTCCCTGCAGAGTGTATCCAAGCAGTTGTGGAAATTGGTTTCGTTTGTTGCCTCGGCGCGCTTGTACTTCAGGTGGAACATGGACCTTTAAATTCCCTTCACAGGCCTCTCTGAATTAATCTTCAAGTTAGCCCCCTTCCCTGAGGTGACTGAGACCCCCCTCCCCGCCCCCATGGTCAAACCACCATTGACAAGGTTTAAGCACAGTTTGTTCATCATGACTGGTTGTAGTTCGTGTCCTGCAATGGACTGGCACCCTGTCCTGGGGGCTCTGCACTACACTGCCCGGGATAATGTAAGAGACCTCCCCCCACCCCGTGACAATGTTCTGGATATTGATGTATTATCGCTTTGGGCAAAAATGTCAGCTAGATAAATAAATGTAAATGGATGTGCAATTAGGAGATGGACGGATGCATGGAAAGAGTGTGTCGTATATTTAATTCTCATCCATCCATCCATCCATAAAAGCAGCCAACCATCTATCTTCTATAATCTCGAATTCAATGCAAGGCTACAGATAGCCTAGAGCCAATCCCAAGAATGCAGAGCAGAAGGCAGGGGACTCCCTGGAATGGGATACACGCCCAACAAAGGACACAATGTGCAGGACAGCCTATCACAGGCCAGGAGACAGGGGCCATCTTGGAATGGGATGTCAGCCTATCACAGGCCAGGAGACAGGGGCCACCTTGGAGTGGGATGTCAGCCTATCACAGGCCAGGAGACAGGGGAAACTCTGGAATGGGATGCCAGCCTATCACAGGCCAGGAGACAGGGGCCACCTTGGAGTGGGATGTCAGCCTATCACAGGCCAGGAGACAGGGGNAACTCTGGAATGGGATGCCAGCCTATCACAGGCCAGGAGACAGGGGCCACCTTGGAGTGGGATGTCAGCCTATCACAGGCCAGGAGACAGGGGGAAACTCTGGAATGGGATGCCAGCCTATCACAGGGACAGGGGGAGGGGGGATCCTATGGGCACAATAAAACAAGCTGTAACCATACAAACATTACACATTACCATGAAAACACTCCAGCACACCCTTGATTAAACAGATGTATTTTCAGATTGTCAATCAGAGCCAATTTCCAGCAAGAACACAGCACGTAGCGAAACATCTGATTAAAATCCTGTAATTATCAAGCTCACGTGCCTGAAGAATTAGCGCGTGTTATGTATGATCAGCCGTCGCTGATTACACACTTAGGGAACGGCAAGGAAACGCAAACGCTACGCAGTGCCTGATAAGTGGTGGGCATCCGGCTCGTCTCCTTTTTATGTTATAAAAAGAAGAACGTCTTAAAGAACAATGAGAATTCCTTACACGCTGCCCTATTTAAGTCGTCATATTTTACACAAATTTGTTCGGGTCATTTTGTTGGGTGTAATTAAGTTGTGTTGAATTATTAATACAGTGTGATAACACCAATATGTTCTTTTTGTTATCTTACAATGCTGTTCACAAGCAAAGGAACCTGCTTTCTCGCACAATTTCATACTACTTGCTTCGATATTACTTTCATTAAGGGTAAAATATCCTTGAATGAAAATGGCTATATATATGTGCAAATAAACTAAAGCAATTATTCAGTCTGAACAGGACATTCTTCGCGAGTTTAGCACTGATTTCTACGAACGCCTTCTAAAATAATCATAATGTTTTATGGCTAAATTAAATCCTGCTTAGATTTGACGAAAACTACAATCTCTAGCACAGATCTCACTAATGAAATGAATAGCTATCAATTCGTAACATTCTATGAAGGCCCATCCACTGCATTTTTGAATCAGTGAGCCCATAAGCCATCCAAAAATGGCCTGTCGAATGCAGTCTGCACACATCTTTGAAGGTAGATCTAGAGACAATTGTATCATAAGCACTTTAATACACGATAAACTTATTCGACATCAGAAGCTACTGTTTAAGTCTGGGTTTTTTTTCCCTGTTTATGATCTGAAGTTTTCGTATTTTTGCCAAAACTAATGAAGGTGACTCACGTCATATATTTCTGTCAGACTTACGCCTCCTTCTTCAAGGTGAGGCTGGCAGGCGGAGTGTAACTCCATGGATGAAGTCAGATCAGCCCCCGTGTGCTCACTTTGTCGAGTACAGCGAAGTCGGCCGCTAAACAATGTGGTCTGGACCAAAGTGTAGAGGAAGGACACATTCTGCTTTTTGTCAAATGAACAGCTTATTCGGGATGCAGGCCAAGGTTCTAAATGTATATATGTGAATGTTTTCCTATATAATGTGTTGTCGTTTTCATGCCAGGCGTCAGTTCCTCGCGATATCATCACTTCGATATGAAAACCAGTTTTCCTTTTAGAAATTGCTAACAAACTAGTTTGGTGAAATTGCTGTGTAACTAGGTTATCAGTCACCAAGGGAGCAAATTAGCATCATATTTATTTAAGTTCTTGCCAGTCAGTCTGGAGCTGTAAATAATTATGAGGGCTCTAGTGGCATCGGCTACAGACGGCGGATGCCATCGATCGCTGTTAAATGCCCATCGATCGCTGGTCCTGCTTGCTCACTAACATCGATAAGCCCGTTCTGCTAACTATGCAGTTATGCAGGGCATTTTTAATTAGTGACAAGGACATTTAAGACTGAAGAAAGGGGAGATCCTGCTAATTTTGCACGTGAAAGCTACCCTGAAGTCCCACCAGGACAAAACACGCCAGGCAAATAACGGAAATCCTATGCTGTCCCCAGCCTATGGTTACACTGAAGTACAGGGAAATAAAAACTGAAGCAAAACTCATTTCCTGACTGTGGGCAAAGATGAAAAACCAGTGCCGGCAACTCTCACGCATCTGGCGTGACACTCGTGCTTTCAGACTCACACACTAACGCAAATCTATATTATTCCATTATAAACCTAAAATTAGCTACATCAAAAGCACTGGGGCAGTTTGCTAACCCTACAGACTCTTTGAGAGGTAACAACAATTACATACGTAAATACATGTGCATGAGTGTGCAGATTTGTCTCGAATTGAAAACCTCAGAGCAGCCAGTCGACCAAAGTTGGCAAAGCAGGAAAACTAATCAAAAAAGTTGCACGTTTCTATCAGTCATTACAAACAAATCAACCTTCAAATTCTTTAAAAATGAATACCAAAGTTGCAGTTGACTGACTTGATTTACTGGTGCAAAATTAGCAGATAAATTGTGGGAGAATCACATAAGCAGTCAAATGCACATTGTTTTGTGTGCAGCCCAGTTCAAAATTAATATTCTAAACTAATGAATTTCTACGTCAATGAACAGAATTTCTCTCACACACATTAGTGCTGATGTCTAGGTGTATGTGCGCAGTGGACAACGGTTTCAGTTTTTCTCCAATTGATCTTTGCCTGACCATGATCCTACCCACTACTACCTTCTCCAGTTCTGTTAGACGTCCTGCCCCAAATGACAGG